TGTGTTTGCCTAATATGCACTAGACCCTGGGTTCAATTTCTGGCACCACAGAAACCAGGTGTGGCAGCACAGGGAGGGAAGAGGATCAGAAGAAGCTCAAGGTTAGGGCTGGAGAGGTGGCTCAGCTGTTAAAAGCACTTGTCCTTGCAGAGTACCTGAGCTTGGTACCCAGCAGTCACAGAATGGTTCATAAGCGTCTGTAACTCCAGTTCTAGAGGCTCCACAGGTAATAGACATCCATATGGTACACATACATGCAGGCAAGACACTCATAGAAATAACATAAATAAGTCTAAATTTTTTTTAAAGAAAGTTCAAAGTCATCCTTGGCTACATAGCTGCTTCAATGCCAGTTGGGGCTAGAGGAGAGCTTGTAAAAAATACAAAAACAAAACATAACAAAAAAGTCAGAGGTGTTCCAGCACCTGGGAAGAGTGAAAATAGGACTACTACAAGTTTTAGACCAGCAGGGGTGGTAGGTAAGAGCAAACAGGAAAAGCTGGGCATGGCAACACATGCTTGTAATCGCAGGGCGGGAGCATCAGGAGTTTCAAAGCCATCTAAAGCTACACAGGAAGTCTGAGGACAGTCTGGGCGACATGGGACCCAATTACAAACCACCAAAAAATAAAACAAATTTTAAAACCATCAACGAGCAAACAAATATAAAACAATCAACCACAACCAAAAAGTAACCATAAAAACTCTCAACAACTAAGTACTTTTTTAATGGAACTATTTGCTTACCCCACCCCCACCCGAGACGGGGTTTCTCTGTAGCTCTGGTGCCTGTCCTGAAACTAGCTCTTGTAGACCAGCAGGCTGGTCTGGAACTCACAGAGATCCACCTGCCTCTGCCAAGTGCTGGGACTAAAGGCATGCGTCACCACCACCCAGTTTAGGTGCTTGCTTTTGTTATTAAGTTATATGATCTCATATATTTTATTTAAATCCTTATTGTATATAATGATTGACAAATGACTTCTCTATTCTACTGGCTACGTTGTATTTTGTCTACTATCTCCTCTGCTATGCAGTCACCTCTTTGCTTTGATATGCTTTAAATGTCATATCCAAAAAATCGCTACCAAGACCAATACCATGGAGTTTTTCTTCTCTATCCTAGGACTTATAAAGCTCCAGACACAGAATGTGTTTGTGTGCACTCTCTCTCTCTCTCTCACCCATATTGATTGTGTGGATGGGTGCATGTGCCTGTAGACACACAGGGAAGCCAAGGCAAGACTGACTTACTGCATTGAGCCAGGGTCTCTCCCAAGCCAGAAGCTTGCCATCTGAGCTAAGCTGGCTGGCCAGTGAGCTCTCAGGACCCACTCTGTCTTTACCTCCCAGTGCTAAGGTCATACGCACTCATATCTGTGCACTGCTTTTTATATGGATGGGGGAATTCAAACTCAAGTCCTCAGGTCCTCATTCTACAGGGGAAATGCTCTTAACTGCCAAGCTATCTCCCCAGCTATCAGGTCTTACTTCTAAATTTTAAGCCAATTTTTAGGTGGGTTTTATGTGTGGTATAAGAAATATACCATTCTTTCCCATGGATCATCTTGCTTCTTCATTTATTAAAGAGACTGTCTATCCCTTTCTCCATTGCATATTTTGACACCTTAAAGATTAGCTGACAATGCATGTATTGCCAGAAATGAGTTCATTTCTGGACTTTCTATTCCGGCACACTGGCCTGTCTATATGTCTGTTTTCTAGGCTAACACTACACCATCTTAATTCTAGCTTTGTAATATAACTTAAAATCAGGTGTTGTGGTGGTACCTTTAGCGTGGCTCTTCTTGCTTAAGAGTGCTTTAGTTATTTGTTGTCTTTTATGGCTCCATCAGTTTTAGAATTTCTTTTTTAAATTAAAAAAAAAATCTTCTCGCCGGGCGGTGGTGGTGTGCGCCTTTAATCCCAGCACTTGGGAGGCAGAGGCAGGCAGATCTCTGTGAGTTCGAGGCCAGCCTGGTCTACAAGAGCTAGTTCCAGGACAGGCTCCAAAGCTACAGAGAAACCCCGTCTCGAAAAACAAAACAAACAAAAAAATCTTCCTAGGGAACAAATAATTCTGGAAACCCTTCTGCAGAAACAACTTGTTTCTGGGAGAAACGCACTGAAATTCTGATGAGGACAGAGCTGAATGTGCAATGGCTTTGGGTAACATGGACACCTTGGCCGCACTGATTCTATCGGGCAGATTCTTTGGATGGCTTGTCATAGACACAGTCCTGAACAAACAGGGTTCCCACCTGTGACCCTCTCCACTTGCTCCTGGGATCCCACTCATCAAAAGCGTTGTCCTAGTGGTAAGGTTCCTCATCGGATGAGGGCAGCTTCAGTGCACATGCCAGGTTGAAGCAGGCATTGCTTCTTTTCTCTCACAGGAGTAACAACGCCTTCTCTGTGAGCATGGCTGCAGGCCAAAAGGAAGATGCCCAGGGAGCTAAGCAGACACACTCCGAGCTGTCGGGGACCTCACCCACAAGGCAGAGAGGTGGCCTCAAAGTATCTGGAGAAAAGGTCTTAGGAAAAACACTAACTGGACAAGCTGCCCCAGAGCTCAGACCTAGATCATCATATGTCAGTCACTGAGAGAACACAGAGGAGCTCTGCCATATCTGTCTACAGGAATACATTCATACTCCAAGGGCTACAGTGGTCAGAGATGGGCTCTTCTACCTCACCTTGTGTCACCAGAGCTGCCATCTCTTTGAGCCTCCCTTTCATTATCTCTAACATCTGGGTGTTTCACAAGACTAAACTAAATGAGATTAAGAAATGTGAAAGGCAGGCAGCTGTGGTAGTGCTCGAGCAGTCTGAGCGCTCGGGAGGCAGAGGCAGGTGGATCTCTGTGAGCTTGAGGCCAGCCTGGTCTTCAGAGTGAGTTCCAGGACATGGATGCACAGTAAAGCATGGGTGTTTTTATCGTAATGCTTGGCAATCCAGACAAACACTGATTCTAAAAGTCTTCATTGTGGCCACGGCCAAGCATACCAAGTCTTCAGTCAGTATTTGTTCACTGCTCCCTGAAGATGACATCATGGGAGAGAGGCCCTTAACACAGGGCAGACAGCAGCTAGTGAAACCCCAGTATTCTTGTGAGGATTTCAATGACGCATTACGTGACACACAATGCAGAAGGATTTGAGGCCCTAACTGGGCATGTGAAGCATTCACAGTTGGATGGAACAGGAGAAAAGCACAGGTATGAGGGATGTGTGCAGGGCTGGCCACCTGTACAGGGCTGCTCTGCTCAACACCAGATGACTCTACCCACCCTCCACCTCTTCATTCTTTCTAAGATCACCTCCTCAGGACATAACCTTTCCTCGTCAGGACGCATGGACAGGAGGAGCACAGGCCTTGAGGAGAGCAGGTGGGGGAGGATAAGGAAGTTAACTTGGCCTAGTTTCCAGAAGGGTTGCCTTTCTAAGTCTGACTCTGTGGCTCTCTGCTTAGAGCCACAAGGGTAAATAAAGCCTGGACTCATTCACAGCCACGTGCGGACTCAGGTCAGTAGTGGCTCCTGCCCTGCATGACACAAGCCCACGCGTACCCTTGAATCCTCAGGGGCACCGAGCCTCTCCAGTCTCTGCACCACTCCCAGCTGCTCCAGAAGCCCTGAGGTCCACAGCCTGTTTGGCATGTGCCTCTCCAAACCACTTCTCACCTGCTTCTGCACCTAGTGCAGACAACAGGCATTCATTTGGCAACCAGATTCTTAAGTTTCCTGAAGGAAAGGACTATGTCTGCTACTTCTGCTGTGGTATCCAGCATCCACCTCATACCTGCTGATAAACTGAGAAAAAAGACCATTTCTTGAGTCTAAACTGAGCAGCATGAGAGCTGTGCTGTTCCTCACGAATCCTGAGCTGAGGAACACAACAGATCCAGTGAGCTCTTCACAAAGAGAGATGAGCTCTCCATCGGGTTCTCAGCACCTTCCTGACAATTCTAGCTGTGGAAAAGGCCCAGGTGGACATGGTCAACTGGGCACATGTAGCCTTTGTTTCCCACTCCCTTCATAGTGCTAGTCATGGACACAAGGGCAGATGTCTGTGGACTACACACTCCCCACTTAGTGCATGGCCAGTCACAGGACTTTCAGATTTAGGTGTGGTAGTTGACAAGCCAGGTGTGGCGTGGTGATGCCCACCTGCAGGCCTTTGATCCCACCACTTGTGAGGCAGAAGCAGGTGATCTGAGTTCCAGCCAGCCAGAGTAGCATGGTAAGACCTTGTATCAAAGAAAGGAAGGAAGGAAGGAAGGAAGGAAGGAAGGAAGGAAGGAAGGAAG